GGGGGGGGGGGGGGGGGGGCCTGCCGTGGGCCGGCTGCTTTGGCCACACATCGACTAAAAAGGGCAAGAGCAGGCTGCTGAGGCAGCCCGGAGGAATCTGGGAGGCTCCCTGGGGGAGGGGCCGCCGCCAACGTCCCAGCAGCTGCTGGGGGGGGCCGGTCCCTGCGGGGGGGGGGCGGAGACCCCTCCCCCTCCGCTGGGTGCGCCGCCCATGGGCGGAAGCAGGGTGGGCGTCCTCCGAGTCCTTCTGGCCGCAGCAGCCGCCAGCTGGTTGCTGCAGTGCTGTGGGGGGGGGGGGGGGGCGGTCCCTGCCGGAGGGACGCAGTCTCTGACGACAGCCTGGGGGCCCTCCCGACGCGAGCCTCCCCCCAGGAGCCCCCCCCAGTGGGCGAGGCGGCTCTGTTCCCTCTGAGCGGCACTCTTCGCCGCAGGACTGCCCTTCCCAGGGCTGCTCGCCAGGTTGCAGGGGCCTGTGCCCTTCCGGGGGAGCCATGGGGGGCCGGCCCTCCCCCCCCGGGTGCCAGAGGCACTCTGTCTCTGGAGCTGGGGGGGCGGCCTTTCTCCTTGAATGCCCGGGCCTCGCCTTGGAGATGCCAGGCTGGAGGTGCCGCGGTTCCCAGCCGTGTGAGGCACCCGAGAGGACTATCCTGGCAGCAGTCTGGCCCCGGAAGTTCTGCCCATACACGCAGCAGCCACTGAGCGTGTGCAGAGTGTCAGTTCTCACCAGCCAGGCACTGTATCGGTAGTGGTGGAAGCGCTCGGCACGCGTTTGGCGTTTCCAGCGGGAGAAGGCGTGTGTGGCTGGCTGGCTGGCGCCGGCCTCATCCTGGGACTGGGCTGAAGCGGGATGGTGGCCGTCCAGCGGCCGCAGGGCGGGTGCGACCGTGGCCCATCCACGCAGTGGTGGCATCCCTGGCCACCGGGAGGGGCCCCTTGGTGGTGTCTGCGTCTCTTGGGCCGAGTCAAAACCTGGCCCGCGGGATCCCGTGCAGCGAATGCCAGCCGGGGCCGCGCCTGGCCCCTGCCCCGGTGCCTGGACCGTCCTGCCTCCGGCCACTTGGCTTTGGGGGGACAGAAAATAGTGAAGAGCCCCCCCCCCCACCGGCAAGACGCCTCTGCTTGGCTGCAGGCAACCCGCGTGCAGGGACAGCTCTCCCCGATTTCCTGGAGGGCACCCAGAACCACCGGGGGTCTCAGCTGCGCCCGGCTGGCCTCACCTGGGGCCACCTAGCAGGGCCCGCTCGGCCGGCTCCACGGGGTGCTGGCCGTTTCCCTCCAGCCATTTGACCGCCTGGCCTGGGGGGGGGGTCAGCAGGTGCACTCGGTGCTTTGGGAAGAGGGCAACCCCCGAGAGCCCTTCAGATGTGACCTGGTGGTCGACAGCCGCCGTCCGTGCTCGATCGGCTGCGATTAGGGTCAGGGGGCAGCAGGTCTCCTTTCTGGCTCCCCGGGGACCGCAAAGAAGCCACGTCCTCAGCAGGGCTGCCGGGAGGGTGCCCCTCGCAGACACAGGCGGGTCCTGCAGGACTCGACCCGGGACCCACGCTCCGCAACCTTTTGCCAGGTTTGCACATGATGCGCGATGGGTGGGTGGGGCAGCGAATGCCCCGGAAGGCGGGCGGAAGAGTCCGGTGACCTTGCCGGGCTGAGGTGCAGAGGGGCGAGTGCCGCGTTCCGCACCCGGGAAAGGGGGACCAGATGCGCGGTGGCAAGATGGGTGGCTTGCAGGGGCGCAGGAACTGGGGATTGCCGCGGACCACCGACTGGACGAGCGATGTGGTTGCCAACGGAGCGAGAGCTGCCTCATGTCCAAGTCACGTGAGGCGCTGGGTCCCCTTCGCTCAGCGCCAGCAGGGCCCCTTCCGGAGCACCGTGCCCGCCTCTGGGCCCCACCGTGTGAAGGTGCAGGCCAGCGGGAAGGGGCTCGGAGGAGAGCCACACAGGTGGTCCGGGGGACGCCAGCCCTGCGGGGAGAGGTGGAAGGAAGTGGGCCTGTGCAGCCCTGAGCAGATGGCGGGTGGGCTTGCTTGGGAGGCTGCCGCGTGAGGAGCCAGCCCACGGTCTCCCGGATCATCCCGGAGGACAGACTGACTGGGGAGCCAAGTGCTGGCTGGACACCAGGAAGACCTCCTTCAGTGGAGCCCGGGGCCGGGCCGGGCCGGGCCTGGGGGGCTGCGGGTGCTCCCCCACGGGAGGCAGTCAAGAGGCAGCGGGGCAGCTCCTGTCAGGGAGGCTTCAACTGGGGGCCTGTGCTGGGGGGGGGGGGTTGAGGGGCTTCTGGCCCCTCCCAGCTCTATTCTGTGGGAGTAGCCGCAAAGGGGAGTGTGTGCGAGGCAGCGGTGGGGCCACCTCCATGGGGTCATTGCCTGCAGGGTTTCTGTGGCAGCTGCCCCTGAGGGGGAGTGCGGGCACCCCAAGGGGGGCCCAAAATGGTTGGTGAAGAAGTGGAAGAAAACTCGTGATTTCCAGTTAAGTGACTGGTACAAAGGCAGTTGGAATATAGCGACTGATGACAAGTTCGCATGCAGTATGAAGGTGAAAAGGGTTGGCAAATATGAATAATGCCAATGATAATTGGGGGTTGTTTACTGAATGCGTATTAGTAAAAAGGAAGCATTAAACCTTCCATGCAACTCTGGATGGGGAAGCGCCTTCCTGAGGGAGGGGAAGGAAAGGAGAAAAAGGGAAGAGGGGTATTTGTGGCTATATATGCATGACTAGCAGGCAGTGGAAGGTCCCAGTGCGGGATGGCACCTTTTGTACCCCGCGCTACATAATTTAATTAATAATTGCTTTGATTGATTTCCATTATTCAGTTTATTTGCACTGTAAGCTTGTTTTCCTGTTTTATTTTTTTGCTGTTATTTTTTTTGTATTGCATCATTAAGTTAGTTAATAAATATGTTCTTTAAAAGTCCTTCGCCATCCTCCCTAAGATGACCCCCCCCCCGAGAATCCCAGAGACCTGCTAAGTGGGACAGGCCTGGGACGCCAGTGGGGGTAAAAGCGGGGCGCAGACTCGGCCAGGGCCTGGGGTGCTGAGCAGAACAGCCTCGTGTCCAGGCCCCCTGCAGCCCCCCCCCCCAAAGGGCAGGCCTGGACAGTGGGGGGGGGGGCACCCCTACCGGGACCACGTGCTGCGCGGGAGCCTGGGGCCGCGTGGGGGGGCAGAGACGAGGTGGCCCCCCAGAGGAAGGGGGGCTGCCCGCTGCGAGCCCTCGGGGTGCCCCGGCTGGCCCGGCCGCCCTTCCTCAGCCGCAAGCCGGGGGCGCTCGGCCGACCCCCTCCGCCAAACTCCAGCTCGGCCTCGGGCCGAAGGGCGCCCCCTCCCCGGCTAGGCAGCCTCGGCGGGGGGAGGACAGCGGCCCTGCGGGGGAGCTCCGCGGCGCCATGCGCCGCCTGCGAGCCCATCAGCCACGGGCGGGGCGGGGGGGGGGGGGGCCGCGAGGAGGCCAGCGCCGAGCTGGGGGGCGCCTGCTGCAGCCAGGCCCCCCCCGGAGAAGAGCCCCCGCACTGGCCGGGGCTCCCCTGCAGGGTGTCTGCCGGGGCGGCGTGCCTGCGGAGCCTTCCGAGCAGCGTCTTCCGCCAGGCCCGAGGGAGGGGCCTTCCTCGGGGGGGGGGGGCCCGGCGGGGGGCGGCGCTCCGGCTCAGCCCCGTGGGGGGGCCGCAGAGCCTGCGCGAGCCGCCGCGAGACCCGCGAGGCCGCCCGCTGCCACCAGGCGGCGCCACCAGCTGGGAAGGCGGCGTCCTAGCCGGGCTCCTCGCCTGCCCGCCTGCCTGCCTTGGCTCAGAACACCCCGCGCCTTTTCCGGGATTCCCGTTCCCGCGGCCTGGAGTGTGCGGGAAGGGCTGGCGTGGCTGTTCCCCACGCTTCTTCCAAATGGAAGGGGCCTTAATGACACTCTGTGTTCATGCTCTTCTCGCCCTGCCGGAAAGGCTCCCCGGTTGCTGATATCCCAATTCCGCCCGTCCTGCCATTCCGGGTTGCAGTGGGGTAACCGGCTTGCTCCAGGAGGCCCCGTGCGGGACGCCCGATCCGGAGGCGGGGAAGGGCCGGGGCGGCAGGGGGCGCCTGCCTCAGCACTGGTGCCAGGCGCAGGGGCCGGGGCCCCCGCATGCCGGGGGTGCGTCCTGCGGGGCCAGAGCGACGCCCCCTCGGCTTGGCCGGGTGCTGTGCTGCAGGGCTGGCCGGCTGGCAGCTGCGCGGGCCACCTGCCGCGTTCTCTGGCTCGCTTGCCCACGCTTCTCGCCCTGGTGCCGCCAGCTGCTGCCTGCCCGCCTGCCTCTTGACGCGGCCGGAGGCAGCCAGCTGCCGTGGAGCGCAGCCCTGAGGTGGGGGGCTGCCGCCACTGGTTCCCAGGGGGGTCCGGGCCGGCCCCCGCCCCCTCTGGGCCTCCGTTGCGGCTCTCCTGAAACGGGAGATGCACTGCCGTCGGTGGCAGAGGCTCCGCGCGGCACGTGGGCCGGATCCCTGCAGCCTGGCCGGGCGGGGCAAGGGGAGAGGAGGCGGCTGCCCCCCCCCTCACGGCGCCTCTCGCTGCAGGTGAGGCACCGCCAGTCGGGCCAGATCATGGTGCTGAAGATGAACAAGCTGATGAGCAACCGGGGCAACATGCTGCGTGAGGTGCAGCTCATGAACCGCCTCTCCCACCCCAACATCCTCCGGTGAGGGGGCCCCGTGGGGCGGGGGGCGGGCGGCTGCCATGCGGGGGCTCCGGGCCTTCCCTGTTGCTGCCCCTGTGCCTGGCGCCCTCCCCACGGCCTGCCTTCCAGGCCCCGTGGGATGCCTCGCGTGGGGCCTGAAGCTCTCCAGGGAGGGCAGCTGCGCGGGGCTTGGGTTGCCCCCGAGCCCAGCCCTCCTGTTCCTTCCTCCTCCTCTTCCTCTCCTCGTGGCTCCTCCGTACCACTTCCCAGCCGACTCGCGCCGTGGCCTGCCTGCTCCGGGGCCCGCCGGGATCCCCTGTGGAGGCCTCGGAGCCAGGGCCCTTGGCCGCGGGGCGGGGGCTGCCACGGGGTCCGTGCCCCCTCTGGGCAGGGTCCCGGGGGCTGCGAGGGCCCCTTGGGGCTCAGGCAAGGTGCCGGTCCTGCCGGGCCTCACGCCTGTCTCCCTGCTCGCCTAGGTTCATGGGGGTCTGCGTGCACCAGGGCCAGCTGCATGCGCTGACGGAGGTGAGAGCCCGCCTGGGCCGGGGGGGCGGCCGGGGAGCAGGGGCCGGGCCGGCCAGGCCGGTCTCGAGCGGAGTGGGGGTGAGGGAAGGCCCGGCCTCACCGCACCCCCCCGTCCGTCCTCGCCGGCAGTACATCAACGGGGGGAACCTGGAGCAGCTGCTCGACAGCCCCACGCCGCTGCCCTGGTCCGTGCGCATCAAGCTGGCCCTGGACGTCGCCCGCGGCCTGCGCTACCTGCACAGCAAGGGCATCTTCCACCGCGACCTCACCTCCAAGGTAGGCCGCTCCCGCCTGCCTGGGGTCCTGGCCCAGCCCCGGCCTCGGGGCTCCCCCCGGCCCCGGGAAGCCTCACCGCCCTGCTTCTCCCCCCGCCCAGAACTGCCTCGTGCGGCACGAAGACAACGGCTACATGGCCGTGGTGGGCGACTTCGGCCTGGCAGAGAAGATCCCCACGTACAGGTGAGCCCCCGTGGGCCGAGGCCGCCCGCCCGGGACCGGGCCCTTCCGCGGCTGACACTGGGCTCTCCTGCCTTCCTCCCCAGCGAGGGCGGCGAGAAGGAGCCCCTGGCCGTGGTGGGCTCCCCCTACTGGATGGCGCCGGAGGTTCTTCGCGGGGAGCTGTACAACGAGAAGGTACCGCTGGGGGGCACCCGTGACCGCGGAAGCCTGGCCGGGGGACGGGGCAGCGGGAGCCGTGCGCTGGGCCCGGAGCACACGGCGGCCCCGCAGAGCAGGGCCTCCCCACCCGCCTCCCCAGGCTCCCCGCAGCAGCGGGGGGAGTCCCACAACCCCCGAGCCCCGCAGCCCGTCCCACAGCCTCCCCCCCGACAGGCGGACGTCTTCGCGTACGGCATCATCCTCTGCGAGACCATTGCCCGGGTGCCGGCCGACCCCGACTATCTGCCCCGCACCGAGGTAAGCCCCTGCTCGGCTGGACTGGTGGGCAACCGGGAGAGCGGCCCTTCCGGGTTGGAGGTCCGGCGCGCCACCCCACAGCAGCACGCAGCAGCCCACAGGGTCCTCCGGCAGGGTCTGCTGTGCCGGCCGTGGCAGAGGTGCCCCCGGAGTCCCGGGCGTCTCCGGGGGCTCCAGGGCCCAAGCCCGAGCCGTGTCCGTCCCGGGGGTCAGCAGGCCACACAGCCTGGCCCGGGGCGCCAGGGGCCTGTACGAGGCAGAGGCCTCCTTCCGCTGGAGCCACAGGGGGAGGTCCGGCTTGCGCTCACGGAGCCCTCGCCTGCCGCGGCGCCATGGAGTGCGCAGAGCCATGCCCGGCCTGGAGGCCTCGTGGCGGGAGAGGCCGCGGCGCCAGGCAATGAGGGGGCCCTGGGGCGGGTTTGCCGCCTCTACGGCAGGTCACGCCACAAGGCATGGCTGTGTGCCGCCTTGCCTCTTGTCCCGGGAGCAACTCGCTCTTCTCTTCCGCCACGTGGGCCAGAGTGGGAAACGGCTCGCCCCCGTGGCTCGCCAGTGGGGAGCGGGTCCCACAGGTGTCCTCTTAGGGGCCGGGTGGGCGCCAATCGCCCATGCTGCGGGGGAGGGAGCCGCCTGCGAGCGCGTGCGCGCGAGGTGGCTGGTGGCGAGCAGGGCAGGGCAGGCGGGGGCCCAAAGGGCCGGGGGAGCCTGCCGCTTGCAGGGGCGACCGAGCTGAGAAAGCCTGGCAAGTGGGGTGAGCCCCGCACCTGCTGCTCCTCGCCGGAGGAGCCGTCGGCCAGAGCGTCCCCCCGGCTCAGCTTTCCCGGGGAGGCTCCTCCGGGCTCGGCTCGCGGCCAGCAGCGAGGCCGGGGCCGGCGGGGAGCCAGGCAGAGCCACGTGGCTGCTGCTGGCGCTGTGCCCACGGCTGTCGCGTCACACGCCGGGCCGCCCGGGGACGCCAACGCCCTCGCCACACCGTGCCTGCGCCGGGCGGGGGAGGCTGGCGTTTCCGGCTGGGCCGGCTCCGGACCTCTGCCGCGGAGCGCTCGCCCGACCAGGCTGGGCCGGGCAAGGAAGGGGCGCGGGGCCCGTGCCGTGCCGGACTGCCTCCGCCAGCCTGTTTCCCGCCCCGCAGAGGCCGCCCGTGGGGGCGCTTGCCGGGGCCACAGCAGGGGATGAGGCCCCCTTCCTCGAAAGCCGGGGCGCTCCAGGCCCCTCTTGGCACCACCCGCCCTCCCAGTAAGGAGGCCTCCTCCCTGGGCATGAGGCCGGGGTCTCGAGGGTCCCGGGTGTCCATCTGGTCCCACGGGAGGAAGGCTTGCTGGAGCGCAGCCGGCGGCCAGCTGCCTGTGCCGGAAAGGGGGGGCTGAGCAGCGGCTGATGGAGGAGGGGCAGCTGGAGCCCCCGCGGCCTTCTGCGTGCACCCCACACCATCCCCGATGCCAGCCTCATTGCCACTCCTGGAGGTGGGCCTGGGATGCCTCCGTGAGCAGGTCTCCCCTGCTGCACGGCGGTTCTGGCAGCGAAGGGGCAGCCCAGGCGCACCAGGCAGTCCCTGTGGATGCTGCGCTGGGCGAGGGAGGCGGAGGCAGGTCCCGCGGGCCTCGGGGGCAGGCGGTGGGGGGAGGCGCATCCGGCCTGAGAGGTGTGCTCTGCTCCGAACCGCCTGGCCAAGGGGCACGTGCCGGCTGGCCAGCATCCGCGGTGCACGGCTCTCTGTGCATGCAGGCGGGGGAAGCGGCCCCACTCGGGGCCCCCGCAGGAAGCTGCTCCCTGGCACAGGCAGGAAGCCCGGCTCCGGCTCCGCGGCTTTCCCGCCGCTCGGTGCAGGGCCTGGCCGGTTTGCTCCGGCCGTGTGGGCCGCATCCCCAGAGGTATTCCCAGCGGGCTCCCGGGAGGGCGCGGGGGTGGCCGGACTGGGCCAGGCTGCCAACACGCTCTCTTCGTTTCCCGCAAGGACTTTGGCCTTGACGTGGACGCGTTCTGCAGCCTGGTGGGCGCCGACTGCCCAGCAGCCTTCCTCCAGCTGGCCTTCCACTGCTGCAGGGTAAGCTCCCGGCACGCTGCCCCCGTTCCTGGCCCGGGGGTCTCTCTGTAGCGTCCATCCAACAGAAGAACTTCGAGGAACACGCTGCCCCGGAGGGCCTGGGCAGTGCCTTGGGCCGTGGGACGCCTGCCACGGGGGAGAGGGTCTGCGGGCCGGGCCGGACACATCCCCGCTTTCATCCTCCAGGAGGGGCCCTGCCGCAGCCATGACCTTGGGGGGGATCAGCCCCAGCAGGGGAGGGGCTGTGGATGCGCAGGGCGCCCACACAGCGCGTTTGCTCCGGCCGGGCCTGGGCCTGCCGAAGGCTCCTGCTTGTGGGAGCGCCTTCCAGAGGAAGAGCGCTCCTCGCTCTGCGGGCACAAAGGCCCGGCTGCCTTTCGGGGCCACCAGCGGGCTTCCTCTCTCCCCTCCCCTCCCCTGCTCTCCTCTCCTGCAGATGGAGCCCACCGCACGGCCCTCCTTCCAGGAGATCACGCAGCGCCTGGAGGCGGCCCTGGGGCAGCAGCTTGTGGCCGGTGTGCCCAGCCAGGCTGCCCTGCAGGGCGAAGGCAACCTTGCGCCTCGGAGCCCGGCGGCGGCCGCAGCACTCAATGGTACCCCTGGCGTGGCCCCTGCGGGCGGCCCCAACTCCGCGGCTGCTTGCACGGGTGGGGGGACGATGGGCCGCTCGAGGAGGAGCCGCCCATCGCCTTGGCACGGCTCACCCGCCTGGCCTCCTCCTGCCTCTGAGTAGGGTGCGCAGGCCGGGCCGGGCCCCTTCCCACGAGATCCTTGGCATTTGGCGCATGCAAGCGGCTCTCCTGCCCTTGCAGCCTGGAGGCCCGGAGCCCCCAGAATGTGCCGGAGCGCTGCCGCCCTGACCGGCCCCCTCCTCCTGTTTGCAGGGAGGGCAGCCACAGGGGACGCGCCCCTCACGGCGCCACGCCGCCCACTGGACCAGCAGCTGCTGCCCCCGGACCAGCGCCTCTCCCGCAGCCAGTCCGACATGCTCCCGCCCCGCGGCCAGGACACCCCGCAGCGGGTCAACCCCTTCTCCCAGCGCCAGGACCTCCGTGGGGGCAGGATCAAGCTCTTCCACCCGCCCAGCAAGTCGCTCATTTCCTTGACCTTCGACCTGCCGCCCCCCTCGCCCTTCCCCCCCGGCACCCCCATCACGCCGGAGCCCGCGGTGGAGGCGCAGTGCGACTTCGCCGCCCCCGCCACCCCCTTGCGCCGCTGCCGCTCCCTGCCGGCCTCCCCGGAGCCGCCCCGTCGCGGGCGGGCCCCCCAGCCCCCCGGCAGTGACCCCCTCTCGCCGGACAGCGGCGGCCCCGAGCCCCCCGGCTCCCCCGCCAGCGAGCTCATGGACTGCAGCCCCGACAGCCCCGTCCCGGGCACGCCGCCCCCCGCGCCCCCGCCCGTCCCGCTGCCCCTGGCCAACGGCAGCTGCATCAGCACCGCGGTGTCCGGCGCCCGGCCATGGCCCCCCGACAGACTCCTCCCGCAGACCTGCGGCGCGCCCCGTGGCTGGGCGGGGGGGCTCTCGGAGCTGAGCGTGCCCTCCGTTGTGGACGGGGTGCCGCCGGAGCACGCGGGGGCCGCCCTGGGCCTGGGCGCGGCCGGCGGGGGCGTCCTGGAGCAGGACGAGGTGCTGTCCTGCCCTGCCTGCTGCCTGGGCCCCTTCGGCTTCAGCCTGGCCTCCGTGTGCCACCGGCCGGCGGCCAGCACGCCACGCTACCAGAACCTGCGCTGCGAGGCCAAGAGCCTGCGCTGCCCGGAGAGGCGGCAGCCGCGGCAGCCGCCGGGCCCTGGCCCTGTGCTCTCGGAGCCGAGCCTCAAGCTGCCGGAGGCGCAGTCCTGAGGCCCGCCGGGCGGGGGCCGCCGCCGCCCCTCCGCCCCCCGGGCAGCCTCAGGGACGCCGTGCCGTGCCAGCCGGCCGCGGTTCCGCGGCAGGCCGGGCCCCACAGGACCCCGAAAGGAGCCACCGCCAGCTCCGGAGCCGCGACCGCCCTTCCCGGCGAGGGCCCCGGCCGCGCCACACGCCGCACAAAAGCTGGGGAGGGGGAAGCCGCCCCCAGGACTGTTGCCTGCCCCCCACGCCACACACGTTCCCGCTGCAGGACTGGCGGCTTCGCCAGGGGCCCTGCGGCCTCCTCTGCCTGCTCAGCTTGGGCCCCGCTCCGGAGGGCAGGCAGTCCCCCCAGGCCTGGGCAGTGCTGGGGTGGGGGGGGCGCAGAGGCAGGATGGGCCTGTTCTCCCCCCCCCCCTGCTGCATGCAGGATGGAGGGGCGGCGGCTGGGGCACTGCAGCCGAGGCGGGCCTGGCATGGGGGTGGTGGGACAGGAGCCCCCCGGGGCACTTGGGCAAAGGGGGGCTGTGGGGGCACCCCATTTGTGGCTGGTAGACCAGCCCAGGCCGGGTGGGATTCGGAGGTGCTGGGCGTGGCCCAAGCTCCTCGGGGGACCAGGGGACGCGGGGACCCAAAGGAGGCGTCCAGCGGCCCCCTTTGCTCGCCTCCCCCTCTCCTGCCCTGGTGCGAGGAGGAGGGCAAGGCAGGGGAAGGGAAGGGAAGGGAACCTCCTGGCCACCCTGCGTGGGGCCGAGGCCTCCCTTTTGCCCTCCTATATGCGACGCACTGGTGTAAAATGCAGGTGCATTTTAATAATGATAAATGCTACTTAATATATTCAGCTTATTTAAAGTGTTGACAAAATAAAACTTGACACCTGTCCAACTGCCGCGCTGGCCTCCTTTTTGCTGCCCACCGGACCGGCCCAGTGGCCAGGAGGCGAGCCCTGAGCCCTCACTGGATCGTGGCCTCGGGCTCCTTAGAGGCGCGGTGGCCTTTGCCGCATGGCAGCCTCTCGGGGCAGCCCGGCCTCCTGCGCGGCCCGGGCCCCTCCGGCCCTCCGCCAGCCTGGCCCTGCCCCTCGGCTCGGGAGGGCCGCTCAAAGGCCCGTGGCCCCAAGTCCCCCTCTTCCCGGTCGGAACACACAGTTGCCCCTTCATGGCTTTATTTATCTATCTGAAACAGATCTCAAGATAGCACACTAACCAAAAGCATTACAGCACAATTAAAATACTGATACAATATAAAAATGCACAGTAAAACAACCCCCGTTACCAAACAAAGCAGCCGGCCCGTAAAATACTGGGGGAATAAAACGGTTTTGCCCTCGCGTCGGCACCAGGCGCCCCTCTCTGGGGAGCGGGTTCTGTCGCCGAGGCCTGGTGGCCGCTCTTCTCGCCCCCTCCGGGGGGCTCCCAAAGGGCCTCGGTGGAAGAGAAGGTTTTGGCACAGACGGGGCACGGTTGATGGACCAGCCAGAGCTGTTGAAAAGTGCCGCCTGCCAGCGCAGCCACCTGGGATTCCCGCGATCGGGCAGCGCTGCCCCTTGGCGGGAGGGCAGCCCTGCCCAGAACGGGGCGGACGCCCATCACCCAGGCGGCTGACCAGCAGCACTCCGTCTTACCTGGAGGAAGGCTCAGCTTCCTGGCCCTCATCCTGGCCCCCACTCCATCCCGGCCCCGACTCGGAACATCCACCGCCCACCTGGATGAGATGAGAGAGGCCGAGCCGGGTGTCATCCGCTCTGGCGACGCCTCAGCCAGGACCCCCAGCTGGCCTCCCCCAGCGGCTCCATGGAGATGCCGAAGAGCACGGGGATAACGTGGTCCTCCGTGCTGCGCCTGCCACGGCGCAGAGCCACGCTTCCCCCGCACCACCCCTGGAATCGGCCAGCCAGGCAGGAGTGTCGCTCCCCCCAAGCTGTACCCCCCCTCCAACTAGGCCAACCCATCCAGCACGGCGCTTGATGGGACGGATCGCGGCTGAGCAGCCGGGAGACGAGCCTCGCGCTGGAGGTCCCGGCAGAGTCCCCCCTGCCTCTGCGAGCCACACGGGCTGGCAGCTGAGCCTTTCCGAGTAGCTCACCCAAGAAAACAGACCCAATCCAGCAATAACGCACAGAGGGACCCCCTAAATCGAAACAACTAGTTCGTCCCGTGTCGGGGGGGGCAGGCTCGGGCGGGCAGTGGCTCCTGTGCCGTGTCCTGAGCGAAAGGGGGAGGGGGCTGTGCATGTTTGGGGCGCGGCCATCAGCTTCCTCGGGTGCTCGGTGGGGACGCTGCAGGGGGCCCGGGCTGGCCTCCAGCTAGTGCCCTCCGGAGGTGGGGGCGCTCGCCGCCTTCTCACAGATGTATGGGAACAAGAAACTGCAGGGATTCCCCGAGAGGTTTCCCTGCTTCAGCACAACACACAGCAGGGAAGTCGTCTGCATCACGTATTCTATCTCAGCCCTAGGAACACAAGGGAAAAGCCCGCAAGGGCAGGAGAATAAGAACCTGCTCTGCCCCTGCGAAGCAAGCCTGCGGGCGGGGAAGGGCGCCTGCCCCCGCCAGGCCAGCAGGGATCGCCATCCCGGGCCCCCGCTTGGGACTGCGAGGCTGCCCGGCCACGCCTGGGATCCCGGCACGAGGCCCCTGGGCCGCCTCTGGCCCTGCCCTGCCCGGCCGCCTGGGCGTGCAGAGCCCCACGTGGCCGCAGGCCTTGCCGGTCTCGCCGACCTGCTGCGAGCAGTGGGGTGGAGGCCCACTTTGCTGTGGTGAAGTGGCCAGTGCCCCCCACACAGCCTCTGCTCCCCAGCCGCTTTTCCCTGCAATGTGGCAATCGGGCATCAGGGTGAGAGGGAAGCCGCATGTGAGGGAGGGTTAACCCCCCCCCATGTTGGTGGCTCTGCAGCACGCTGGCCCCCTCTCCCGCGTCTTCTGGGGGAAGCTCAGTGGCCGAAGGCACTGGGCCAGGGGGAGAAGCGAGGGCCTTACCCCTCCGCGTGCGTGCCGTCGACCCAGGTCCACGTGTGTGTCCGTGTCCGTGTCCGCGGACCTCCCAAGTGCAGCTCCTTTAGCCCGATCCAGAATTCGACGGTCTGCAGAGCACCCTGGGGCCAGAGAGGAAGCGGCAGGGGGTCAGCCCCAGCGGGGGAGCGCCCACTTCCCCTGCTCCCAGGGGCTCAGACCTCCCGCCGCGAAGGGGAGCAGAGCTGCAGCGAGTCCGGGAGGGCCGGCACTGGTGAAGCGCACCAGGTCCAGCTGTGCGAAGCCCCCCTGCGCCGCCCCACGTGCCCACGAGGACAGGCCCCCTGCAGAGGGCCCGGTGTGGGCAGCTTGCCAGGGGTCCAGCCCGCCCGCCTGCAGGGGCGCAGGCCGCAGGTGTCTTGAGCTGGGGCAGGGGCCCCTTGGCCGACAGAGGAAGGGGGCCAAGGGGGCGCGGCGCTGAGCTGCTGGGCCACTGCCCCCGCCTGCGCCACCCTCCCTCCACGCGGCCCGGCTGGGGACTTGTGGCGAGTGCAGGCGGCGGGGGAGGCATGCCTGTCTGGCCAGGCAAGGGCCCTCTGCCCGCAGACCACGGAGGCAGGGTCCCGAGATGCACGGGGCAAGGGCCCCTTGCGCTGGATTCTGGGGCAGCAGACCCCTCCTCAGAGCCTCATCCTGCTGGGGGGGCTCCCTGGAGGGGGAGCGTGAGGAAAGGCCGTCCCAAGGCCCTCTGCCCAGAGGTCCCGGCAAGAGGCTGTCCAAGGCTGCCTCCGTCTGCCAGAGAGGGGCGGGCAGGACGAGGGTGGCAGCCTTCCTGCGGTCCCCCACCCCACCCCACCTCACCCCACGGGATTGTGCCACTGCCCGGGGGAAGCCCTGTGCAGATGCTTGAGCCCGAGCGCCCACCAACGCTTGGCCAGCTGTGGGCACGGGGGGCACAGGCGCAGCCAGGAGAGCCGCCCCCGCCCGCCGGGAGCTGCCCCTTCGTGCATCCCGGGTCCCTCGGGTGGCTGGGGGGGCCTGCTCTTTCGGCCTGCCTGCTCCCTGCTGCCTGCAGGGCGGCCCACTCGCTGCACCAAGTCGCTCAGCACCTCACCGGCAGCTCGACCGGCTCCCACGACTGGGTGATGAGCAGCCGCGCCGCCACCTCCTCGCAGGCCCGCTTGCTTTCTTCCCACGTCTTCCGCTCCCTGGCGAAGAACAGGCACTTGCGCCGGAGGAGCACCCACTGCTCCGGGCACCAGGCTGCGGGAGACAGAGGGGCTGCTGCGGCTGCACTCGGGCCGCCCAGCGCCGCAGGGACCCCCGCGGAAGCCGGCGCTGCCCGCCCTCGCCCGGCGCGCCAGGCCCGCTCCCACGGCACGCTGGACACGGGCTGGGCCCCTCAAGCAGCCCCGCCGTGCCCCGGGGTCCCGGAGGATCTGAAGGGAAGGGTGGGCGGGAGCCCTCCGCAGGGACCGAAGACAAGCCCGGCTGGGCCAGAGCCGGGGTCCCTCTGGTCGCTGCCCACGGGACCCTCCGGCTGCCAGACCTCCCCGCCCGGCTCCTCGGCACCGTGCGCGCAGGCACGTGGAGGCGGCCGCAGGGCTTGCGCCCACCGAGGGCTCCTTCCTCCGGAATCCGCGCGAGGCCGCCCAGACCGGCAGCTGCCACGCTGGCTGTGGCCGCGGCTGCCACAGGGTCGCCCGGCGCAGCGTGAGGACGGGCCCCCGCTGCCCCTCCTGGGCTGCCCGGCGCACCCACCGGAGCACGGCTGCGCCCGCGTCGCGTTCAGGGCCTCCTCCAGCTCCCGCGTCGCCTTCTGCTGGGCGGCCAGCGCCTCCTGCGTGCGCCGCAGCCGCAGCCGCAACGCGCCGTCCCCCTCGGCGTCGCCCTCGGGCTCGGGCTCGGGCTCGGCGTCGGCGCGCCTCCTGGCCAGGGTGCCGTTGCCCGCCGCGCAGGCAGGGGGCGTCTCCCGGAGCTGCTGGGACACCTGCTGGTCTGCCGAAGCGCGCTCCCGTGAGTGCGCGCCGCCCTCCCGCGCTGCATCCTTGGCGCCGGGGCGGCAGGCGCGCCGTGGCCCCCGCCGGGCGCGCGCTTAGCGATGCCCGCGCGGCGCGGCTCTGCCCGAACGTCCCCGCGGAGAGCGGAGCTGCGCGGCCCCGCGCCCCCGGCGCCGCTGTGGGGACGCTTCCCGGGGCCCGCGCGCACCCGCCCGCGCCCTGGGCCGGGGCCGCGCGCCTGGCCATACTCACATAACAGGCCGAGTCCCGCGGCGGTGGCCAGCAGGAGGAGGGCCGCGCTGGCCAGGCCCAGCACGACCAGCCACGAGAGCCTGTTCGGGCCTGCAAGAGAAGCGCCTTAGGAGCCGCTCGCTGCGACCGGAGGGGGCCCCCGCAAGGCTCGCGCACGGTTCCCGCGGAAATACTGGAAGCGTGGCTCCCGCTGCCGCAGGCTCGCCCCTGCCCCGAGCTTTCAAACTCGTTCCAAAGGCGTATCGTTCAATACGCAACTCCAGGGTGCTGCCCACGGAGTATGCCCCAAACACGGTTTGAGGTGCATTCGGGTTTGGTTCTGTATTAGCAAAAGTTAGTAAAAGAGAAATCTCTTCATCTTTACTGCTACTAAAAATACGTCTGTGACATCACATCTAAATATAACTTGCATGAAATGCCATAAAGGCACTGTGCTGAAAAGCCTGTTCAAAGGTGGGGGCCACAGCCTGGGACCCTACGCAGGACGCCCCCCACCCCCACCCCCGTCCAAGAGCCTGAGCCCTTGGGGGCTGCAGCTCACCTCGGCGATAATTTTATCTGTTTGCCCATAAATTACACTTCACATCCTCTCATTGCTTTTAAACACTCCTGAGAAATTGGAACACATGAAAAGGATTATGATACTTTCTGGCTTATACCCCTGAGAAGATAAACTCCTTACTCAAAATTCGCCAGTTAAGCAATCTTTTTAGATGTCCATATATCAAGCTGCTTGCTGAATATCCATCCTTTAATCTCTTTTGGTGCGTTTGCCTGATAAGCGTGAGGATGAGAACGAGGATGCATGCCATTTCTGCACTGCCTGGTGGCCGAAGCCCGCTGCTCGGTTGATGACCTTACAGTTGTGGCTGGAACACTAAAGGGCTTCTCCAGAGGAGACCTTTCGCCAGCGGAAACCTTTCACTAAGGCGGAGAAAGCAAGCCCTCTGTGCACGTGCAAGGTGGCACCGTGGCAAGAGCAGCCGTGAGGATATGCTTTCCCAGAGCTACCAGCCTTTCTGTGAGCTGAAACGGCCGCAGAAAGCCCTGGCGCGGCCCTGGAGGACGCCCGGCAGTCTGGGTGACGTGCAAAGGACTGCCGACCACGTTGCCCGTGGGCCGTGAATGTCCCCCGTCGAAAAGCCGCATGCCCTGCCGTGGGCTTCATATGCAGTTTCTCTAGGGATGCTGTCAAGGCCCCCCTGGCTGTTCTTTGCGGCCGGCTGTCCGGACCCCACTGTGGGCTTCCATGCTCCTTGGCATGGCTTCCCTTCAGCGCGGCTGCGGCTCACACGCCCCGGCCTGGCGCTTGACCCTGCAGTGAGGGAGCGCCTCAAACAGGAAAGCGGGACTGACAGGGTAGCACATTGCCCGGCCCACCCGGGGCCGCACCGGCCGTGGGCGCCTCCTGGCAAGGGGCTCTTGTGCAAAGTGCAGCAGCCAGGCGAAGCACAGGGACCAGAAGGTCTGATCTCGTGGCACCGGCTCTGGCCCACTGGCACTGGCTGCCTGCATGCTTCCAAGCCCAGTTCACGTGCTGGATTTGACCTGTAAAGCCCTACACGGCTCGGGGCCCCGCTGCCTGGAGGAACACCTCTCCCAGCCCTCCTCTGCCTGGACACCACCGTCCGGTTCCGAGGCCTCCCTCCGACTGCTGCCTCCCAGGGGGGTTCAGATGGCACCACCAAGGAGAAGGGACTTTTCAGCCCCCGCCCCTTCAGAATGAGCTCCCCACGAGGCCCACCTGCCACCAACTTTACTCTCTTTTAGCACCAGTTCCAGGTTCTCTCCTGCAGGCATTCAGTTAGTCTAGTGGGGCCTGCGGGATGCCAGACGGGGTAACGGGCTGTTTTTGCCTTTGCTTGTTTTTACATTTTGTATTGCTGACTTTTATGATGTTTTAATTTGTTTCAACTGGGATCTATTGTATTGTTTTTACACATGCTGTCACGAGCTCTCCAGAGAGGCTTGGCTGTTGGGCAGCACAGCAGGGAGCCGGACAGACTGAGCCATGAGCACAGTCGGATCCAAGGCGCCGAGGGGTTTCCCCCGCCGAACACTGATGCTGCCGCGAGCTGGGACACTTGAGGTGCACGTTCTGAAATGAACCACACCGGTGCCCACACAACTGAGTCGGGACTCTGGGCAAACGCCGGATTCCGCCCTCGGCTCACTTGGCCAGGTCTGGTGGCGGGTTTAGTCTAGTCCATTTCATCCCCGGGATGCCCCGAAGCAGCAGAATGACGATGGAGCCCGTTGCCCGGGGGGCCGTGGGCTCTCCCTCTCCGGGACATCGTCTGAGTGGGACGCATTCACAGGACCCTGGCCACGGAAGGGGTGGGACCCGACGGCCTCCCTGGCCGCCGCCAACCCCACCATTCTGCGATTCTGCGTTTCTCAGCCGGGGGGGGCAGCGGCCGTGTGGGGCCCCCATCCTTTGAATGGCCCAGTTGGCGGAGAGCTGCGCAGGCACCTTCCTGCACAGGAAGCACTTCTGCTGTTAGCAGAAGTGCCGAGAAGAGAGTTCTCCTCCACAGCCGCAGCTGCCTGGTAAGCACCTGTCTTAGCATGGCCACTGCTCCTGTTGCTGTTTGTCTCCTTCCTCTTGTCCTCCTCTGAGAAACCCAAGACGGCTTAAAAGGCCACCTCATCCCCATTTTATCCTCACAGCCGTCTCTGCCTAAATTGAGGCAATTTAGGCAGAGACTCAGTAGCTGGGCCCAAGGCATCCAGTGAGTTTGATGCCTGAGGCGGACTTGAACCCGGATCCCCTGGGTCCGGGGCTGACACTCCCACTATGCCAGCTCTCACATAATGGCAGCCATATTAAAGCACATGGGTGCACCTTCCTTTAACGTGGAAATTCGTTGAATATAGTTTTGCACCTTTGCCTCCTGGAAAGGCATCTGGAGTGGCCAAGAACCCCAAGTAGTGGAACCCCTCACGGGGCGGGGGGGCTCCTCCGCGCTGGGCAGCCCTCAGTGTCCCGGGCCGGGATCCCCTCTTCCACCCGCTGCCCCCTCCCTCCGCCCTGCCGGGGCCCGGGGCCCGGCTGGCACCTGGGCTGGGCCGCTTCTCCCGCCTCGCACGGCGGCACTCACCTTTTGGGCCGCTCGGGGGCGCCTTTCCCAGGGGGCTGCTGGCCATGAGGAAGTTATCGTAGCTCAGCTCCACTCCACCTGCCATTGGGAAGAGGAGACGGGCGATCAGACGGCTGCAGCGGACGGTCTCACCTGGGCACTGGGGGGGGCGGCGACTGCGCACGCTACCTTCTCGCCGAGCTCGGCAGCGCCCCTCCCGAGGGGCCCCAGCGAAGCGCAGGTCTGCATAGGTCACATCCTGAGACATTCTGAGATGGATGGCGCTCAAGCAGAGCCGAAAAGAGGCAAGTGCAAGACACGGAAAGGATGCGGTTGGAGAAGCGGGTGCCTCCCGCGGAAGCGCGCCGGGGCAGATGGGGCTGCCCAAGCAGAAAGCCCGGGCTTCCTGCATGGCCGCCAGGCGGGCCCCGTGCAGGAAGAGGACGGCCGGGCTGGGCTGCGCTGCACGGCAGCAGCTGCCCACCCCCTCCGGCATCGCGGGCCAGGCCTGCGCGGGTGAGGCAGCCTCAGCCAGGAGCAGCCCACCAGTGGCCGGGAGCGCTTGCCGGGCCACCCGCGGGCCAGCGCCGCCCGCCAAGGGAGCGCCACCGGACCAGGGAGGCCCGGCTTGCCCGTGGCCACCCAGAGGGGCAGCAGGCAGCTGCCCGCTTGGCCCTAGGAGGGGTCCCTGCTGCGCCCTGCCCCAGCCACCTGCTCTCCAGCAGAGGGGAGCCAGGGACCCGCGGCAGATCTGGAAATGGCCCGGCCGAGCGGCAGGCTGCCTCCCGACCCTCGCCCAGCAGGGCGCCGCTCAGGCAGGGGCTGGGCTGGGCTGGCTTGGCGGGGGGCTCGGGGAGGGGGGCAGCTGTGGGGAGCCTGCTGGGAGCAGAGCCCCCGCCCCTTCTGCTGAGGAGCGAGCCGCTCCGGGTGGCCCGGCGCTCCACAGGGCTGTGGGTCTCAGGCACTGCCCCAAGCCGGCCGCCTGCACAGAGGGAGCTGCCCTGAGAAACGGCAGCGGCGTGGAGGGGGCCGGACACCCAGCCTTCCTGTGCAGACCTGCAGCCGGGCACAGGCCCTAGCGCGCCCCCCAGCTCTGCATGCGCTCGGCCAGGACTGCTTGGCTGCGTTGGTGACCCGCTCAGCCACAGCCGGGGCTCTCGGAGGGTCCCTGCGGGTCCCTGGCCATCACCACCAGCGGGAAGGAGGCGGGCAGAGCAGAGCAGAGCAGGTGTCCCCCTCTGAGGAGGCTGGAGCAGGAGCTGGGCAGAGGTCGGTGGGGGCGACGGCTCCAGCAGCGGGTTCTGCTTGGGGCTTCCTCCCCCAGAAAATCCTGCGCTACCGACCTGGGTCTCTGTGCAGGCAAGCAAGCGAGCGAGGCGGGCTGCGTGGAGCCGCACAAGCTGCACAGTTACAGAGCAGAACAGAAAGAGGCTGCGGGGGGGGGGGGGTGTTTCTCCCACACAGCCCGATATGCAAATCGCCCGAAGTCGGTTCTCCTGTTGACTCAGACGGGGCAGCGGGAGAGGTGCCAGACCTCACCGCAGACCTCAGCCTGCAGTGGCAGCAACGCCCTTCTGGTTTCGCTGGCGCTCCCTGCACTCCCAGACCAGCACGCAGCACAGCAGCGCCTCCGGCACCGGCTGCAGCCCGTGGCGACTCAAGGGGGCCGCCCGCGCTGGGCTTGCTTTCCTTGGGCTGGACGCCTCGCGCCTTGCGGCGTTTGCAGTGCGAGCGTTTAGCACCAAACCCTTGTGACCGTGGGAAAGCAGTCCTTGATTCAGTGAAGGGGAGGCTACCAGGTTGCCAAGGAAGACTCCTTGCAAAGAGAGACTGAACGCCCGGCCTGGCTTTCAACACTCTGCATGTGACGTTTGTTCCAGGATATAAAGAACACAGAAGCATAGGAATGCAGGCTCAGCAGCCATCAGCAACAACATCAAGGGGCCTCATGCACACGCGCATTCATGCGACGCCCATCCTCACAGCCAATGGACCCTCTCGGCGATCCATCGGGGCTGCGGGGGGCCAGCTGCAGTGTTGTCCTGGCACACGGGAGCCGGAAAGCCGCCATTTTATACCTTAGGGTTGGCTCTGCCGGCTCAGTCCGACTGGACCGACCAACGAGCTGCTCTGAGCAGAGCTGGCACAGACCGAGCGGGTCCCCCCTGCGAGCGCACGCCCCTCGCCACGTCCCACTCCCTCTCTGGAGGGTGCAGGTGGGCTCATCTTACCTGCCACGCTACCTGCCGCAACCGCTCCCGGCCTCTCGGTTCCCCCGGTCTGGTCACTCCCGTCGGGCCTTTCGTTCTTCATTTTCTTCTGGGTCTTCGGCCTTCGGGAACCCATGCGCACTGTGACACCCTCGGCCGAGCATAAGTGTGGGTTCTTGGCTGAGCCCCAACAGGCAGCCGTGCTGGCCCCTGACCCCTGCAGAGCAGAGAGGGCAGAGCCAGTGGCCCCACGTTTCGCTCCCGGAGTCCTTCCCCGCCCCCCAGTTGTTCTGCTCCTTCCTCTCCAGTGCCCTCCCATCCACTGGTAGGACGGTTGCACGCCCTCGGGGAAAACTGGCGAGGGAAGTGTGGTTGCCACAACAGCCCACCAGGCCAGCCTCGCAACGGACCGCGTGCTCTCCACTGCGGTGGCAACCGGCTGTTTGTGTGCAGTGTTTGCTCTCCCGCCGGTGGCCAGCCTGGCCGACGCGGGCGACACGCGCAAGCCAGCGGCCCTGCGGGAGGACAGGCGGGAGCGCCGGGGCAGCGGGTGGCCACGCTCCGCTCCAGGGAATCAAAGGAGGTGCTCGCGCGAGGGCCGGAGCACGGCAGCTCTGAGCAGCCCCGGAGCCAGACGCGCAAGGGCGAGCCGAGGCAGGAGGAGAGGAGGCTCCTGAGCGGAGGGAACATGAGGCAGAACGAGTGGCACTTGAGGGAGCAGAGCGGTTCCCCACCGGCCACGGCATCAGGCAGGGCTGTGTCACATCTCCGATTTGTCCGGTCTGCGTGCAGAGCATGTAATAAGGAAAGCTGGGTGAGAATCAGCGGAAGTAGTGGAAATGGGCAGTAGGCACATCAGTCGTTTAAGATATGTAGATGGTGCCATCTTACTGGCAGGGAGCCAAACTGACTCAAAATGATAATACTGAAAGAAGAAAGGGAAAAGCAGGACTGCAGCAGCAGAAGAGAACAAAAATAAGCATGGAATCATGGACTGGCGGGGCTGGAAGGGGCCGTCAGATCCAGCGCCCTGCTGCTGCGGGACACCAGTTCGCACCATCCTACTCAGTAGTAATGGCCACAGAAAAAATACAAAACTTTACTGTTGCTGGAGTTGCCCTAATAAAAGTTATATGTTTGGGACCAGGATACCTGAAGGAGTGCCTCTTCCCCTAAATGCCCTCACGCTCTTTAAGATTTGCCTTCGGAGGCTCTTTAAAGGAGATAAAAAGAACATCTACCGGAGCAGGGCCTTCTCTGTGGTGGTGCCCAGGTTATGGAATGCGCTCCCTGGAGAGGTGTGCCTGGCGCCAAGTCTGTATTCTTTTTGGTGCTAGGTTGAAACCTTTTTAATTAATGGCTATTTTAAAAATTATTTTTTTATTAACACTAGCTTTTTTTGGTTTTTATATAATTTTACTGTATTGGTTACTGTTTTATTGTTTTAATTCTATGCTGCAAGCCATCCTGAGATGCCAAGGCATGTGGGAATGGCATATAAAAGTTTAAATCAATAAATATTAAGATATAGAAACAGAAAACAGAGCGAGTCAGAAGGGGCCTCCCAGGCCATCTAGTCTGACCTCCAGCACCAGCCGGCTCTGCTCACGACATGCCCACCATGTGCATCTCCAGCCTATCCTTGAACACCCGCATCGATGGAGCCTCAGCCACCTCCCAGGGAAGCCCATCCCACCCCCTCGGGGTCCTGACTGTCAGGAAGTGCTTCCTGGCATCCAAATGGGACCTTGGCTCCCTCAGCTTTGCTCCGTTGGAGCGCATCCTGCCTTCCTCTGCAGGGGAGAACAGGTCTCTACCCACCTCCATGTGACACCCGCTCACATACCTGTATGTTGCCAACATATCCCCTCTGAGTCTCCTCTTCTCCAGGCTGAAGAGGCCCAGTTCCCTCAGTCTCGCCTCATACGGCTTCCCCTGCAAACCGGCCACCAACCTTGTGGCCCTGCGCTGCACCAACTCCAACCTGGCTGTGTCCTTCCTGTAATGAGGGGCCCAAAACTGAACACAATACTCCAGTTGTGGGCGCACCAGAGTCGTATAGAGTGGTAATAATACCCCTCTCGATCTAGAAGCCACACTTCTGGCTATGCAGCCAAGGGTGGCGTTCGCCCTCTTGACCGCCGCATCACACGGCTGGCTCATGTTCAGCCTGCAGTCAACCAGCACCCCGAGGTCCCTTTCACAAGTGCTGCTCTCCAGCCACTTGTCCCCTGACCTGTACTTATGACAGCTATTCCTATGCCCCAAGTGCAAGACCTTGCCCTTCTCCACACTGAACGCCATCCTGTTGTCTCCTGCCCACTTCATAGTCTGTCCAGATCCTTTTGGATCCAAAGTACCTGCTCCTCAGTTGTGGCCACTGCTCCAGTTTTAGTGTCGTCTGCGAATCTGATCAGCAGACTGTTCACCCCTTCTTCCATGTCGTTAATGAAAAGATTAAACAGGATCGGCCCCAGGACAGAGCCCTGGAGGACCCCGCTTGTCACTGGCTGCCATCCTGATGATTCCCCGCTAATGGTTACCTTCTGCTTTCGGTCAGTCAACCATGCCCTAATCCACCGGACAGTGCTTTGGTGTATCCCAAAACTCCTCAGTTTCTCCACCAGGATATCATGGGGCACTTTGTCAGAGGCCTTGCTGAAATCCAGGGAAACCACATCCACTGCACCCCCTCCATCCAGCCATCGCGAAACCTTGTCGTAGAATTCCACAAGGTTTGTCTGGCAGGACCTGTTGTTGCGGAAGCCGTGTTGTGTGGCTGCCAGCCTCCCTTCCCTATCTAGCATCACTAGATCTCTCGCTATTATGAGCCTTTCCATTGTTTTTCCTACAATGGACGTAAGGCTAACAGGTCTGTAATTCCCCATGTCCCTTCTACTACCCTTTCTGAAAATTGGGACCACTGATGCCACCCTCCAGTCCACCCTCCACCCTCCATGAGGCCTCAAAAATGGAGGCCAGTGGGCGTGAGAGAACCCCTGCCAACTCTCTAAGTACTCTCGGGTGTAACCCGTCAGGGCCTGGCGCCTTTGTAATGTCCAATGCCCTGAGGAGCCCCTCGACTTCAAGGGGGGGACTCTAATCTGTGTCCCTAAGTCCTCGGCCTCATCTAATCTCTTATGCGGATCTCCCCCGTCCTGCTTTGGGGAGAACACAGAGGCAAAATAGTCATTTAGCATCTGTGCCTGCTCCCTCGTATCAGTCACTGGATCTCCTTCCTCCTTATTTAGTGGTCCCACCACTTGTCTCCCCTTCCTATTTACAT